TCGTCCTGCTCCTCGGTCGCCGCTGGGGCGGCCCCAGGGGCCGGCAGCCTCGTCCCCGATTACTGGATCGACGGCTCCAACCGGGACGCGCTGAGCGATTTCTTCGAGGTGGAGTCGGAGCTGGGACGGTAAGCCGGGTGGGGTGGGGGGCGGCACCCGGGGTGGCCGGGCGGCGGGAGGCGCCCTCTGAATGGCTCCGACGGCCCCAGAGGTACCGGGCGCCTGGTCTCTGCCCTTTGATGTCTACTCGCCCAGAGCCTGCGGTGAGGGAGCTAAGCACCCATTCAGGTGTGCTGGGGCGCCTCGGGGCTCCCAGGCCGGTGCAGCTGCAGGCGGCGGTGCCCCGAGGCCCCCCTCCCACCTCCTCGCTGGCTGCCACTTCCCTCGGGTGACAGCTCCCACCGCACGTGGGCCCTGCTTTCTCAATTGGCATCTCAGCTCACGCTTAGGGCTAGCTTGCTAGAGCAGAACCCTGTTTTTCTAGTTATTATTATATTTTGGGGGGGTGTCCCTCCAAATCATGACTGAATTATTAAATTAGATTCCCCCTCCTTCCCTTCACCAAGCTCTCGAAACCCAAGTGGTACTAGAAATTAAACTTAAATACTATCTTCCCTGCCGAGTCTGCTCAGGAGTGAAGGGGGGGATGAATCATTGAAGAGAGTTGAAGGCTGCATAATGAACTAGCGTGGCTTTAAAGAGGAAGCAGCACATGGGGTCCAGGCAGTGGTAATTAGCGAGAAGAGTTCTGCTGCTCTTCTTTCATGTGCTGGAGTGATTTATTTAAATTATGTATGCAAAAAGCCATCTCCTGTGGGCTGCAGGAAGGTCCCTCATCCCTCATCTGAAGAGCCGAATGCGGAGCGGGTTGAGCTTGGAAAGTCATACCGTTCGTCCTCATATTTTTTATCCATTGAAAAATATTCAGTAGTAATTATTATAAAAAGAAAAAGAAAGTTATTTTCTCTCTCTTTTTCTGCACTCTCCCTTTCTGTAATCCCAGGTAAGGAGACCTCGTTTCCATACTCATTTTAGATCCAGGTCTTTTATCACAGGGAGTCTGAAGATGTAATTTCAACTGTCGACAAGTTACATACAGTATTGGCCCTTAAAACTCTTTTGCAGTTTTATTTTATTTTTCCACTTTTTGTCGAAAGTGGTTTACCTAACACCTTTGTTCTTTTTGCTGCCATTTGCACACCAGGGCACGGTTCTGGATGTTGGTACGTAGTGGGAAGTAAGGACCAACACCTCCCGCTCCAGCCCACTGGCTGTTTGTAGTCAGATCTCTTTGAAGAAATGATGTGTAGAAAGCAAGACTTTCTGACAGTCTTTTGTAACTTTATAAGATATCTAGAAATATTTGAATATTTAATATTGTATACATATGCATCCTGCTTTTGTTAAGTTTTTCATCTGAAGACCTGCAATTGTATGCTTTCACTCCCAAAACAAAACAAAACGAAAAAGCAAGCAACCACCAAAATGCCAAACTCACTAGCATTGAGTCAATTCCTACCCATAGCAGCCAAATAGGTCTGGGTAGAGGTGCCTGCTGTGCGTTTTTGAAACTCGAACTCTTTAGGGGAGTAGAAGTTCTCCTCTTCCTCCCGCATGCATTCACTAGGAGGCTGAAAAATGAAATACCTCTTTCTGTAGGGTTTGCAATCTACCGTCCATTGCATGATGCCTTGGCGGGGAGCAGGGTAGGTACATTTCCGATGAAGGCGATCATCTACTTGAAAATGCTTACTTGGTGTTTCAGAAACACCACCTCATAGAGGAAGTGCCGGTGGTGCTGCAGGGACTGTCCCAGCAGCAAATCTGACTTTTTCTGAGTAACCTCTACTCCAGAGGCCTCTACGAGTCAGGCTTACCATCACCACATGTTATCTTTATGAACAGTAATTTTTGCTTCAAGAAGTTTCCTTCAACTTGAGGAGTGTGAAGGTTGGGAGAACACAAATTACTAAATTGCTCAATGCACACTTTTATGGGATGGAAGGTTATAGGGAAAACCTCAGGAATTAGAAGTTTGTTTTTTTTTAAAAGCTTGATGTTCACATTTTATGACTATTTTTGGAGTTATTATTTTAACAATGAATCACATGTATTCTCAAGACTTATTCTCTTTAGTCTAGTTTTTGACTACCTCAGATGTATCACAAATTAAACTATTTTGAGTAAAAAATAAAAATTCTCACTACTTTTGCCTTGGCTTTTTGTAATCATGTCTATTGTTATGTAAATTCTCTAGGTGTCATTTAATTAAACATTTGAGAAATACCACTTTATGATCAAAGTTGATTTCCCCCCCAAAAGAACTCAAGGTGACTAGTGTTTCACATATAATTATTAAGACTTTTAAAGCCAGAAAATGCAACAGAATTATCACTGTAGGTGTTGGCTGAGTGACAAAAAGTCCTTTTCTTAATGCACTATTGAGAGCATGGAAACTCATTTTGCTTCGAGTCTTAATTCTCCGCCTTGGACTGACTCTCTCTGCTTGTGGTGATTATGAGGACAAAATAATCCACACCGCAGATTAATCGTGACAAAGCTCAACGAACATCACGCTTTGTGTTTTGATGTACCTTTGCAGGTAGCTCTAGGTATTAACTGTGTCCACTACATTACATTAATTTGTGAGTCAAACTGTTCCTGTATGACAATGCTGGAAGCTAGTGGCTCCTAAGTTCAAGACATGTAGGGCGTGCTACCATTGAGGGGACATACCCTGAAGCCGTGTTTGGTTTCTTCCAACTAAACCAAAATCCAAGGAGCTATTTTGGAAGGCCCTACAGGACAGACCAGGCTTGTAAATCTTTTTAGAAGCCGACTGCATGCCTTTGTCCCACAGAGTGGCCTCTAACTGCCAATCTTCCTATTAGTAGTTAAGGTAAGGTGACCAGACGTCCCGCTTTTGGAGGGACAGTCCAATTTTTAACAATTTTCCCCATGTCCCAGGGCATTTTTAAAAAGTCCTGATTTTTGGAAAGAATGCACGACAAGCTAGGGTATACGGTTTTCGGCTGCCATGTGGCTCTTTCGCCAGGATATGAGTTTTATCAATGGTGTCCCGCTTTACCAAGGTTAACATCTGGTCACCTTAATTAAGGGCTTAACTACTGAACTACACAGTCTCTCATTTGGGAGTTTAAAAGGTGCTAAATTCCCAAGGATATGTGTAACCTCTGGAAGCCCCTGGATGGTTACAAAGGCCTGTGCTAGCTACCATAAAGTCTACAAGTAGCCCTCCAGATCTCGGCATACGTGATAGTACTAAGGGGAATGGAGGATGGAGGGTGAGTCATGGTGGTAGGTTATTCAGGAGAATCAAGCACTCTAATATTTCTAAATCCACATTTGCGAATATTGGCTGTGTTTGTTGCAAAGCTTTTAAATATCATGATACATCAACAAATTCAATTCTCCTGAAAAATATAAATTAGCCATGATCCTGTTCAAGGTTCCATATCCCTAGAGAGCAAGTTGGTTCGTTGCCCAGTGATTTGAGAGATGTGCCTTTTAAGAGTTTTTGAGGGAGACAGGAGCCTGCCTCTGATCCGTATTCTGTCCAGGAGGTTGGCAGATGGGGTAGCAAGATTTGGCCTGGCTTGCTCTGTGCTGGGGATTTGGTGCTGTGCACCTGTACTCATGTTCCATTTTTCAGTTATGCCCTACATTTTATTTTTGCTGGTCGCACCAGCTGTAAACCAGATATACTACTCTAAACACACAGGTTCAGGGAAAACCAAGAGAAAGACAAAGCAGGGCAGAAGGAAAGTGCGTTGAATTATTTTGGAATCAAGTTTTCGATTTCCAAACGTTCGATTTGGTGGTTTCTTTAGGACAATGACTTTCTCTTTTCTCTCCCTTCTTTCCTTTTTCGTCTCTCACTCTCTTTACCTGATTCACGATGGGATGTATATTTGTATGGCTAACCAATGTGAGCATCCTATCCTTACACAGGAACCGTTGTATTTAAGTATTCTGGCTGAAGAACCAAATAGATTTAGATAGTGAAAGATGTGTGTGTATGTATTCATAGGAACATACAAATTGAAAGTTGAAATGTTTCATAAAGCACTGTTTATTCTTATTCCTATCAATAGTATCAATATTTTCAAGTCTATCTACTCTATTTTGTTAAAAAATAGTGGCTGGATTCGTGTGCGTTCACTTCCCGCTAATGGGCTGTAACTCAGTATACAAAGTGCTGCTCGAGGCCGTCGACCTGTGCAGTACTGATGAAAGCAGCACTGCATGAGCCGGGTCAGTTAAAAACTGCCCTGCCGGCCAGTTGGCTTATGCTCAGCAGTGCCTTCTCTTCTTGGGGATCCTCGTCCCTTTGGACCTGTCATTGTGATGATCTTGGGTCCAGTGACTCCAGGAAAAGGACCCCCGCCCTGTTTTCTTCTCCCTCAGACTTGTGTGGCCATGACCTTATCTCACTTGGCTTTGGTTTCTTCTTCTCCCCGTGGGAGTATAGAAACTGCCATCTCTGTAGCTTGGAGGTGTTGAAAAAGATGCTACTTTCTGTTGGCAAAGTCCTTTGTGGCTGTGCAATGAAAGGGATTCGGTTTCGCCTTCATTAACCCTTGACCACAGGTGTGTCACAATTAGGAGTGAAATCAAGTTTGATTCAAAGGCATGACATGTCGCCAGCCCATATCCAGCACTAACGTTAACTGCATAATGCTACTAACGGTGGGAATACATTCAATATAGAAAGCCTTACAATCAAGTGAAGGCTCGGATAAGATCATGGTTAGAAACGTGCACTAGTTTCCCCTGTTTAAATGCGCCTTCCTAACTTAAGAATAACTCTTAATTTGAAGAACATACACACAGGTGTTGTCTGCTTCTAAATTCTCCTGGAGAGCTTACTTGAAAAAACAGAAAAGAAAAGCAAAGGAAGAAAATAAACGTTAACCACAAAATAGCTTCAAAGGACTTTCTTGTCAACCCTTTAACCCCAGCAATATCTATCAGACTGTGTGCTCAGAGTAACACATTGTGTTGAGGGGGAGTCAAGTCACAGGCCTTCGCTACTAGTTGTCATTGTTTTCTGGTTTAAGAAGTAATTCCTTCTGGGAGAGCTACTGTGTCTAATAAACAAGGATTC